GAACTGAGGGCTTCACTGAAATTGCTACTGAGTGTAGCTCTTCTTCTTGATCCTTGTCATTCTTGTTCTGGTTATGTTAGTACAGTACAGAAGTACCTGGGAATAAACTATTCCTCTAAGTGAAACATCATTTTGATTATTACTGACATTGGTGCTCATTAAAATACATAAGTAAAACACAGACTTTCTGTAGGCTCTGAAAGCTATTTCATGTTACTTGAAGGGGAATACAAATGAATAGGGATTGCATCATTTTAGTTAAAAGAGGAAAATGTTCTAAAAACTGGAATCTGGACTCTAGATCAGTGAGCAATTGAGGATTGTCGTTTATTTCTTTTCTGTCTCTTTCTTGCTTTTCATACCTATCCAACATCTGACTATTAAGCTGCATGTACATGGGGAATGAAGAGAGTGCATGTTGTTTACTTTATATCTGTTCTGCAATTAAAGATACACTGCTAAGTTAAGATGAAACAAGATCTAATAAATGTAAACAATACATTTTGCCTTTCTGGCACTGTTATTTCTTTACACTGACTGATCAGATCTGTAGGTAAATAATGACTTTTTAAAAAAAAATCAGTTATCTATGTCTAGTGTTACCATATCAGTGTATTTTAATGGCTATCTTCTGGCTCTCCAGCTGTTTAATGTATTTCTTTCTCCATTGTATTGCAGTTAAAAAATATGACCTGCTGCTGTTTAAATAATGTAATTTAATGATTTCACATTTTCAGCCACACAAGGCTTTCTTTCAGCTCTGAAGCCTTTCACTAATGATTTGGGGAGATAGTTTGTTCTTGTTTCTTTCAGAACCTGGGACTGAGAAACTCAGACTTACAAATAAATTATTGGCACCCACTTTAGAAACATTACAATTTGCAGTGAAAATAAAACAGATAAGATTCAGTGTTATGGGGCCAGAATTTCCAACTTCTTGATTCCTCTTGGCAGCTGACTGGGAGGTTCACGTATTATTCAGCCTCCATAACTGTAAAGGACTCTGCAACATAGTTGCATTAAACCTGAAATAATATATAGTTAAGATAGGTGCATTGGACCAGAGGTTCCCAAAGTGTTGTCTGTGGACCACTGGTGGTCTGTGAAACACATGCTGATGATTCAGAGAGAGCTGGCTGGCTCCAGGATGCTCCTTCTCATTTCCAGCTGCTATACTGGACAACTAAAATGCATTAATTAATTTCCATCAAAGCAATTGCTATAGGTGCCACGGGGATGTAAAGGGAAAGTGAATGAGAGAGGAAGTAAGATCCTTAGCAACTCCTGGGCATTGCTAAACATCCCCAATTCCCAATGAATTCAACCAAAGTTGAGGCCATTCAGCAGCACCTCACAGAACACTCCTCACCAGACCTGAGGGCAAGATACAATAAAACTATGAAGTGTTCAGTGCTATAATGTGATCTCTAAGGCAGATGGACAGGTATATTAGAGAGGGCATCTCCATGCAGAATAGTTGATCCACAGGCAGAGTGTTACTGAGCTCTGAGGCTCTAAGAAAAAGCTATTACTAGATTGGAGAGAACCCAGAAAAGGACAACTAAAATGACAAAAATGTTTAGAAAAACCTGACCTGAGAACAGAATTTCAGGGAACTGAATTTGGCAGCCTAGAGACAAGTCTGCTAAGAAACGGAGGGATGAAGATCTAAGTGACCCTGCTACAGGTTAATTGAAAAGGTAGCAGCTGAGAAGGTTGTTCACAATCGCCAGCAAAAGGAGGACTAAAAAAGCAATGGATTAAAATTAAAGATGAAAAAAACTTGGCCTAAATAGTAGACAACACTTCCTCTGCTTGTCTAGCATCTGCTCCCTCTTTCCCCTTCCCCCAGTCTCACCACTGTTGGTGTGACAGCCTTCTCTTCTGTGCTTCAGTTCCCCAGTTGTGAAATGGGGATAATAGCATGGCCCTACCTCACTGGGGTGTTGTAAGGACACATACATTCCTGTTGTGAAGTGCTCAGGTTCTATGACAATGGGGGCCAGATATGTACATAGATAAATAAGTTTTCAGCAGTGCTGTACTTATTGATTTCACTAAAGTCACACAATTTTGTTGCTGCTGCTAGGGAAAGTTAGCAGGGAGAAAATGGTTAAGGGTGGGCATTTTAACTAAATCTGTGCCCTATCCCTTACTCCCTTTTTAAACTATTTTAGTCAAGGTTTTGGGGGAAAATTTTACATCTTATCAAGTCAGTGCTTTCAAACTCTATGTTTAAAAGTGATTTCAGTGTATATACTCATTGGCTGAAAATACCAAGACTGAACTCAAGTGAATTGGTTGCAGCTCTTAGGCCATACCATTCCATTTAGCAAAGCAGAATGAATTCATGACGTAAGAGTTCCATGAGCTTATGTTTATTTATAATACTATATACACAGAAACCATAAGCTGGTACACTCTTGAGTGGAGGGATACATTTTTATAATGCCTGTTTCCTCATTAAGATTTTATCATCTACCTACACTAAAAGGCCTCTTCCCTTCACTTTGTTATCTCTGCTTTTACCCGGTCCTGTTCCTGCATTATTTTTTTAATCTTCAATTCCCTACTTTACATGCACTCTCAAATTTTAAACAAGCAAAATTTGTGCATTAGTGTGTCCTTTTCATCTATGATTTATGAATGACAGGTTCCTCGGTACAGCTTAATGGTATGAGAGAGACATTATTTTAAACATTAAAGTGAAAACCATTTACAACTATGATAAGAGAGGTCTGTTGACATTAAACTTTAAAACACACACAAGGTAAAGGCAAGTAGCTGCACCAACAGGTGAGAGTACCAGGCATACAGTTTTGTTCAACACATTAACTGTCTCTCCTCTTCTCTGTTTCACAACCTGTAGACATTGGCGCTTCAAACAATCCATCAAGTCATCAGCAGCAACTGAAGTTTAATTGCCTAAAAAGTATTTAAAATGCTGTGTAGAGCATTCATTTAATAGAACTCCCATTTTGTCTTTGGAAAACTTTTTCCAGCATTTAGGTCAGGAAAGAAAAATGGGGAAGGGAGTTAAAGCTATATTTGATTCTTCACTCTTACACCTTCCATCACTTTCCTATAGGATGTGTCCCTCCCCATTCAAACTACTCTTGCAATTTCATTATGGGGTTTTTTTGCTAACACTTTGCCTGTTTCAGAGTAGCAGCCGTGTTAGTCTGTGTCCGCAAAAAGAACAGGAGTACTTGTGGCATCTTAGAGACTAACAAATTTATTAGAGCATAAGCTTTCGTGGACTACAGCCCACTTCTTCAGATGCATATAGAGTGGAACATATATTGAGGAGATATATATACACACATACAGAGAGCATGAACAGGTGGGAGTTGTCTTACCAACTCTGAGAGGCCAATTAAGTAAGATGTAAGTATTCTCACACTTCTTATCAAACTGTCTGTACTGGGCTATCTTGATTATCACTTCAAAAGTTTTTTCTCTTACTTAATTGGCCTCTCAGAGTTGGTAAGACAACTCCCACCTGTTCATGCTCTCTGTATGTGGGTATATATATATATCTCCTCAATATATGTTCCATTCTATATGCATCCGAAGAAGTGGGCTGTAGCCCACGAAAGCTTATGCTCTAATAAATTTGTTAGCCTCCTTCACTTTGCCTGTTGTCCATTGTGCAACTCAACTCACGAGCAACCTCCTTCTAAGAAGCAATAAACACCATTGAGAATAATAAGTAAATTCCTTTATACTTAATATAAGATAAACACCTTGACTGCAGCAGTGTTATTGTTAAGGCACATTCATGCATCAGGAGTAGTGAACATTACGAAAAAGCAACAGTTACATTTTACTTCACTGTGCTGGGTTTTCAGTCTGACTTAAGATAATAAACACAGTGGGGCAGAGAGATCTAGGTCCAGACTCTCTGCTAAGGCAAACACAGTACAGCTCAGGACATGGGGGCAGGGGAATGCATAGGTGAACTCTGTACTCCCCTGGCCCTGAGTCAGGTATGGTGTCTATTCTAAATGTAAACAGCATTCAATGGCCACAAGGGGCTGAACGGCAGCCAGGGACCAGGGTGGAGTAATGAAATCCTGGCCACACCCCCTACACTGCCAGCAGAGATAAGGAGCCATTTCACCATCTTCGTGCCACCAGAAGATATCATTAGTGCCACTTTGTGCTCGTACTATGTAGCACAGCCCCAAGTGGTTGCACCACACTTGAGAATATGGGCATTGGTCTTTAGATTTTCCTATAAAGCTCCATGCACACATAAGTTGCTATAACAGCCACAATAAGAGTAATGTGCCCTTGATGGATGCAACAGCCTCTTTATTTTAAACTGACACTCATGCACTTTATTTTGGTAGCTGTAGCGAGAGAATTAGCTTTATCACAGCATGCCTTTTGTATAATAACCTAGACCACTTTAGGAAGAACCAGTAGAAAGCGGGAACTAATTTTTAAGTGGAATGCAAATGCCACTTTGCGTGCGTGGTTTGCCGTTAGAGGGCCTGTTGGTTGGAATGGTACCATAAATGGGAGTATGGGACAGCAATACACGTCCTAGAGCGTCTAACTACAGTTACAAAAAGGATGCTTTTGTAATATGAAAATCAAAGAACAGATACTTCTAAATGACCACATCCTGATACTAAGCTTTTAGCTGCACCTCTTCCTTTACTCTTCCCTAATCTCTCAGCTAAGGCTCAGCATTGGCCAATCTTATTCGAGTTCGCAATGCTATTTTAAAATTTTAAGTGAACAGTGAATTAAAGCCATCAGTCAGTATGATAGAGCAGACCAATTAGCTATTTCCAGGATCTCATAGTACTGGCCTGTGGAACGACAGAGAAGAATACTGACACAAAATGTTTATGAAAAATGCAGTATAAATTTGATAACCATTCCAAAAGATTCAAGGTTTTGAATTTTCAATAAAGATTTGGCATCAAGAATAACATTTCTGTGGACAAATGGATCTACCTGTGAAAATACTGATTGATGTGGTTTACCTTGTAGATTTTGCAATGGCAAAGTCATAATGCCTCCTGCTGCAGCTGCTGCTACCAGCCCTTGGATGTTGGTGAGATTAGCTGTAGGCAGAGTTAGGACCAGTCCTTGTTGACCACCCAGTTGTCCAGCCATGTTGAAGGGAATAAGGATAGGTTGATTTAGGGCTGGAGTGCCTCCTGGCATCACCCCTGCTACCGCTGAGGCTAACTGTTGAGCTGTCAGTAATGGCTGTAATGAAACATATACAGTAAGCACCTGAATAAGAAATAGCACCGGTATCATTGTACATGTGCCTGGGATCATCTGTAGTGTTACCGTACGTACATGCAATTACAATGCACCACTTCTAATGTAATAACATACAGTTCCTCCAACACAAAAAGCCTTGAAGATCCTGAAGACTGAGGCTGGAAACCCTGGTAATCATATCCAACCCACTGATCTCTGAAATCAGAGTTTGACTTAAGTTGCATCAACTTTGTAAAAAAATTACTGTATGTACCCCAAAGATGGTTTATGAATTCAAGAAGGCCAAATTCAACCAAATCTACAAGAATTTAAACTCAAACACTTCCCAGAGCTAAAGTTGCAAAATTAATAATTTCCAGCAGCTATGTGATGCAAGGGATGCTCAAAGACCGCACTATAAAATGGGCTGGAATATCAAGTATCTGCTTGCCTTCCCAGGGCAATTGACTGAATGTAGATATCCCTACACAAAGTGATACAGAAAATCAAGCACTTTATAACTGTTCAGAAGAACAGTATAACACCCACACCTTACCGTAAAAAACATTTGGCTTTATAAAATAATGAATGGATTTCTTTATTAATGCAGGAGCTGTGTGTGACTATAGGATTGTCAAATCCAATAAGCTAAACTTGCATTAAAATTGCATTAACTTTTTTTTATATTAAATCATGACCTGTGCTTCCAAAGTAACTGATCTAAGGTTCAAATAACTTCATTTTATAAACACAAAAACCATTTACATTTTACTCTTTGGAAAAACATATAGAAACAAACCTTGTCTGTTTGTTTTTAAAGCAAAGACCTTATACAGAATATTTTTTTAAAAATATGTGTCACATCTTCTCTGTACATGTTTGTGTAATAAAAATTCAGCCCAACAATTTATCATCATATTTTCTATATTTATATGGTTAGGTTATTATCATTCATTGTTAATTACTTTAATCAAACTGCAGTTTTAATTAGGCTAAATGAAAGGTACTGACCTGGGACCCAACAGGGAATGCTGGGTGGGACTGACTGGGCTGATGCTGATCAGCTGTGCTTGTATCAGACAGCACTGGGTTTCCTCTGGCCCCTAGAATTCAAAGAGAAGCTCTACATTAATATCTAGCCCAGGGACCGGCACATTACATTTTACTGTGATGTCACATAACATCAAGCTGCAAATGATATGCTAAAGTGGTTTATCAATAACGCAAGCACTCAAATCACTTATCAGCTGCATAAATTATGCTAACATTCATTCAGGCCAGCCAGCTCATTCAGGGAGATACAGAAATCTGACAGCAGTGAAACTGAAGCTATCATCAACTCAGCTAATGTGGATTGCATTATACATCAATTTACATACAGTACATGAATACTCTGTGTGTGTGGCAACTGCATTTTTTATGCTTAGGTGAGCAGCAGCTATGCTAATTTCTCAAAGCAAAAATTATCTGGGACACAATCAAGTCACATCTACTTTATATCTCAATAAAGCTTCTTCTTCTTCTTTTTTTTTTTTTTTGCCACATACTGAGGCAGAGAAACCTGTACCACTCATGATAAAAGGCATTACAAAAACTGAGCACAAACATGCTTCTAAAAGGCACTTTCTTCTTGTTCTCTAATTATATATGGTAAAGCAGAGCTTGTCATAACCAAGGCATTTTGGTGCTAATTGAGAGAATCAAAAACCAGCACTAACTATGTGCTTGAATCAAACATGCTGAGCATAGAACACTTTCCAGTATAGCTCTATCTGGATTTTGCTGAAGATCACTGAAGAGATTTGAAAAACACCAAACAAACCCTAATACCTGTAACACATGGTCAACAATAGGCTTTCAAACTAAAGGTTCGCTCCTGCAGTCCCTACTAGGGCAGAACTCACACTGACTCACAACTTCTTCAAGGAGGACTGCAGGATCAGGCCCACTTTTTGTTTCTGTATCTGAAGGGAATGACAGCAAGTATCAAAAGCAGCAGCTGGAGCACTGTCATTTTAAATAAAGAAAATTCCTGGCTACAATTTTAGGATTTCTGGTCAGTACGGTAGCTTTTGTTCTGTTAGTTTTTTTCTGATGGATGGTTGAAATCCAATTCTAAGTAAACCTTAACAAGATCCCCTTTTCCAATGTTTGTCCTATGAATAGCAAGTGCAAGACAATTCAGAACCAGTTTATTGGCATGCCATGGTCTGTGACGGAAAAAAAGGATATGATTCTGTCATACTTATAAATTTTAAAGAAGGTATTATCAGCTCATTTAAAACAAATTCTTCTATATATTCTCCAAGGGGACAGACTTATAAATAATGGAAATGTGAAAAAAAAATACTTCATCACATTAAGGTACAAATAAAATTGACTGCTACATATTATTCAATTGACTTCTATCTCTACCGCGATATGTCAATCACAACAGCATTTTATAATGGGATTAGGCAATAAATGTGCAGAGCCATTATGCAGAAATCTGATTAATTTGTAATATTTTTGTGTGCATGCAGAAAGTCAGAAATGGACATTGCTTTGGGAATACTTACAAGCGTTCTATTGAAATTTCTAAATTGATTTGGAACCAACTAATAAAAACACACAGACTTTTTGACATTTTATAAAGTGAAGTCTGTCAAAATAGGTTTGGCATTTTAATGACCACTGTCATTTAATAACTAGGGTAAGGTGACCTATTATAATTGGTCAAGACTCCAACAACTGCCTAATAATGTGCATGAAGAGATTTAGGAACTACATTTTTTGTGTGTGATTTATTATCTGCGATGCTTGGAAAGCACGGAATTTAACTGGATGTGCAGGAGACTGTGAAAATGTATACAATCTATGTTTTTATATGCATAACACTGTCCTCACTCAGGCAAAACTCAAACTGCCTTCAGCATGACTCCTGCCTCTACAGGGACTGCAGGATCAGATCCATTATGAATAAACATCACTTTGTCTAAGCTTATTTCCACATATCAGCGTGCTCTTTATTTATCTTCATATGACAGCTGTATGCAAGGAATGATATTACATCAAACACTCAGGTCCCATGATCCTGACTAGCCCCCCACTGAGGTAAAATTAAATATCTGTTTTTGTTTGCCTGCTTGAAGAAGTTAGAGCTTTGTCTTGGACTATGATATTACTGAAACAAGTTCCTAATATTGTATCCTGTCACTGAATTCGCCTGGAAGGGCTTCAGAGAAAGTACAAAGCAACAACCAAATGTCTATTAGTACATGATCCTATTTTAATTAATTAACAGCCTGATCCCACAGTACTTACTCTCATGAATGTTCCCAATGAAGTGAGTCTGTGTTTTAATACATTTTTTATTTAGCGAACACTATTTTCTGTTATGTATACTGTATGTAACTTGCAATATTTAATCCTGTGAGAAGCAGTTTGTACAAAAGGTGTCATACAAAATCAGACAATAAAGCTAGAGTATTATTAAATTATAATTAATTATGTTGTTTTCTTATTGCATTGCACTAATTGCAATCAAATAGGATTTCATTCATTTTATATGGCTGTTTATTCAAGATGCTGCATCTGTTTTTATTCCAGTGCATGAATACTGTGCCTGGTTCTTCCAGCTCACTTTCGACACAGTTTAGGAGTCTCGTTGAAATGGCATACAATTTCATGTGTATGAATGAGGTCTTACACAGTCTCCAGATGAAATTATGCATGCTGTCTTTTCAGGATCAAAAAGGCACACTACCCCTCATGCCCATATTTATTTTTCTCATACACATGTAGTGTACTTAGTTTTATAGGCCCATCTCCTAATCTATCTGCTACAGCAGCCACTCCAGACTCAAGTTTTCTTTCAAAGTCAGGAGGGAAATCTGCAGCTTGTTGGCTGAGCAGTGAGTAAATGTGGCTGAGCAAGAATTTCTGGGTGATTGGAGGTTTCGCTGCAGCACCCAAGCAAACAGAAGTTGTTCTCTGCCACCTATTATCTTCAGTGAGAAGCCCCGGCAAAGACATCCAGGAACACAAAATACAGCCACAAAAGGTTTGTAGAACGCTATGATTCATTCCTTCCCTACAGTATTATTTCCCTGAATTAGCAGGGCAGATTCTGCCATGCTAGAAGAATTCCGCTAACAAAACAAAGTACTGAGAGTACCTTGTTATATTTACTGTTTGTGATTCACAGAATCATAGATGATGGACCAGAAAGGCCTCGTAGGTCATTATCTAGCAGCAAGATTTCTAGCCTTTCCTTCCACACGAGCTCTGGATTGTCCTCTCCCCTATGTTTTAATTCAACAGCTCTTAAACCCTTTATTGTTGTTGGCTCAGTGACCTCCCTAAGCAAATGGGACCTTGGCTATTTTAAAAAGATTTGCCAAAGTGTTATTTTCCCAATGTCTAGATTCATGCCACTGCCTCTCGTTAGATCAACTTCAACAACTGTACAGTGCGTTCACAAGGATATCGCTGCCCTGTACAAACATGAATTCATTAAGCCTCAGAACACCTCTGTGAGTATAAAGCAGCATAACAACAGAAAGGGACTATAACCGAAATGGTTAGCAGTGTGAGAACAGCTCTGGCTGGTGTTTGCAGGGTACCCGGCACGTGTTACGTGACCGGCTACTAAGTGGGAGCTACAGTCTCTCCCCATATGCAGGCGCACCAGGCTCTCTGCCCCTACAGAAAAAGATCTTGTGAATGGACAGGCCTTCTAGCCAACTCTGTGATACTGGGTTGAAAGTAAGGGCATGAATGATCTGGACTTAAATCCTTCTCACACGAGGGAGGCTGTGTAGCCTAGTGGATAAAGCATTAGCCTACAAGTCAGGGGCCTGGGTTCTTTTCCGGCCTCTGCCACTAGGTGAGCTTGGGCAAGACACGTTACAGCCCTGTGCCTCAGTTTCCCCATCTGTAAAATGGAGATAATGATACAGCTCTCCTTTATAAAGTGCTTTGAGATCTACTGACGGAAAGTATTAGATAAGAGCTAGGTATTATTTTTAGGCCTCACCTTTTTTCCTTTCCCAATTTTGAAAATCTTAAATAGTAAATAAATAAATATTAATAACAATGTACCACACCTGGGTCAGCTATCCCCTCTTCCCATGATGTTTAGGGGAGCTTGTGTCCTCACCTGTGTCCTCCGCAATCTGCAGGAGGTCAGACTAGATGATCATGATGGTCCCTTCTGACCTTATAGTCTATGTGAATCTATGAGTCTAATTACGCTTGTAGGGAGGGTGACTGATCACCCTGTCCAATGTCATTCGGGGTGATTTGTCTCCTCCCTGATACATGGAAGCTGTGGCATTTGGGTTGAGGGAGAGTAGAGACGGTGCGTGGGGTGGTCCATTTTGAAAACAGAAATAATCTTGTGCGCAGGAGGGGAGCAGGAGCACAGGTGTTACTAGCGGAGCCGCTCTCATAGGCCGGCTCAGAGAGCATGCTCAATAATACCATGCTAACAGTCTCGGAAGCTGCTGCCAGGACACATGGACCAACTTAGATACAGTTTTAATGTTTAATAAATGTTATTATTAATACCAAATTAATTATTAAAGCAGCCCCTCACCTGTCAAGATGTTTGGAGTGCATGACAAAAAAAACCCCAAATGAAAATAATATGAAAACATAATGTAAAACCACCCTCTTAAAATACCAAATAAAACACAGAGGCAGTAAAGTAAAGAAGAGGGAAAAGATGGAAGGGAAAGGGAATTAGCCAGGTGCTAAGTGTGGTTTTAATAAGAGGGATATTCTTGTGATTAAAGGCATTGGACCAGGACTCAGAAGGTCTGGTTTCAATTCCTGATTCAGTCATGGACTTCCTGTGTGACAATGTGGAAATTCAGTTCTCTTCTCTGTCTGTCCTGTCTATTTAGAGTGTAATAACTTCAGGACCATCTCTTACTATATGGTTGTCCAGCATCTATGGGTCATGATCTCAGTTGGGGCCTCTGAGCGATACTAAATACTACTATTGCTACAAATAAAAAGCTTTTGAAATAAAAACTTGTTCAACTGTTTTTGAAAAGTGAGGCGAGACGAACCAAGGTAGATATCAGTGGGGAGAGAGTTCCACAATCAGACTAGCAAA